TTGGCTTGCAGTGCAGGTGGTGTGTCTCTGAGATATTTTCCTAACAGGGTTCTAGAAAGTCTTAGCTTTTGTGTCTTGGGAAACATGTGAACCCAGAAATACTCATGACTTAATTCTTGCCTCCATCTTAGCCAATTAGTTCCTCCAGCTTTATTCTTCCCATTCCTTAATCCTAAACCAAAGTTATCCTATACCTGAAAACCTCGTGTCTACTTCAGATTGGGACAAAAAAAATCTTTTTTTCTTCCTCATCTTTCCTCTTCTAACAGGTCTTTTATACGCTTCAGAAAATGTGCTTCTCTTTAAAAAAAAATCAAAGTAAAAGGATTATTTTTTTTAAACTGAAAATTAGATACATGGCCCTGCGTGAAAAAATCGATACGTTCAGAAAAACTAGTTGAAAGCATTTCCTAATTCACCGGAGCATCCACCTCTGAGCAAGTGTCCTACAGTAACTCTGGGCTGCATTCTACCTGAGACCTGTTTCTTAAATAGGTTGGAGTTCTTTTTGTGTATGTCATCCAACACTTCTCTGAAATTGGTGCTGCCACCATCACGTTTGCAAAGTGGGGAGTGGCAGCTTCGCACTGAAAGCTTTTTGAAAGGAGTGATAACAAGGGGTGGAGAGAGCTGTGAGAAACAACCAGCCTGCGAAGTTGTGAGAACGCTGTATCCATTATCGGGTCCTGTTGCCGTTTGACTTTCTGCTGATTTCAGAATGTCCTTTGATTTATCTTTCTGGAAGAACCCAGAGACCTTAATGCATCCATTCCAGCTTTCTTTTTTTCCTTTCTCTTCTGCTTCTTTCGCTCTGTCGCTTCTTAGCAGTTTGTAATTCTTAATTTACCATGGTTACTTAGCTACACCCTGGTCTGTCACATCCTATCCATGCTCTTCGGAGTACTTTTCCTAAGTGATTCCAGAATAACTGTTTTAGAGCAAAAGGATCCGTTTTTAAGCCATAAGCTTCGGTTGAAACAAAAAATTGGGTTATGTTCATTTGTCCTCAATCAAGCCGCTGCCCGCTTGTGGCCACCTGCAAAATGCCACTTTAGAGAGCAAGATTCCTTGGGCTAGAACAATCTTTTTGAATTCAAAATTTTGAAATTATCTTTGCTAAGACCGGTAGCTCCAAACCAACCAGAACCCACTCTGTGACTTAATTCCACCCCCTGAAGATGTAAAAAAAATAATAATAAAAGAGACCAAGAGGAATGCATTTTTATTCTTTAAAAAGGCAGCAGAGATATGTAAGTATCACTCAGCATTTTAGACCTGTGTGATTGTCACAGTATCCCTCGCTTTGTTTCTCTGCGAGGCTCATTGCTTGGGACACATGCAAAGCTTCTAACACCACAACTTAAATGGCTCTGCAAATTGATTCACTCCAGGGAGCCTGTCCCTGCACGTTTTTGCACGTTTTTGCACACAATTGCTGCTTGCAGGACAGCCCTGGGAGGCGCTGGGTTGCCCCAAGAGACAACCAATGCTGGAAAAAAAACCATTTGCACGATCTGCCTTCCCTCCGAGGGAATCATAAGCTTCAAGAAGTGTTTTCGTTTTTTCGGATGTGTTTTAACCTGTTGAGTGCCGTTTGCGGCACAGGGTGACTTGCAAAACTTTCAGAGAGTCCTGGCAGTTAAAAGTCCGCAAAGATGAATCTTGATGCCAATCGCATTTATCTTTCAGGATGTCACACAATCGTGTTAGTTTGAAAAAAAACAACAACAGGAAATCAAGAACAGGCCTTAAGGCATCCATTTCTTGGCATTTATTTCTTGGTTGTGACTTCCCACTTCTTTTTAAAAAAAAAAAATTGAGGAAAAAGTGTGACTCTTGGAGTCTTTCTATGATGTGTCTTTTATTCTTCCAGCTTTGCAGATCTGCAACGTAACTGGGTGTTTCTCCAATGTTAGAAGAGAGGCTGTAGTTTTTAGGGAGAAATTTCTTGTGGGCCACCGTTGTGTGTAAAGTACATTTATAGACAACTGGTCAAATCCAGGAATTCTCAGGTCCCTAATGTCTCAAGGATTTTGCATGCTCAATTCCAGTTCTCATATATCGGCAGCGAGAATATCTGAATTCCCCAAGAAAAGGAGAATTACGCCCATGTATGAATTTTACAGAGCCCTGTCTTGCTGTCTGAAATAACTCTGATCATCATGTTCCTGTTAAGACACAGTCTCTATTCCCCCTTCCCTAAATACGTGCTACTCATTTACTTTCCAAACAATATAGCCATTGTGCAGAGGCACATTTTGGTAGAGGCTGCTACAACTGTGATACTCCTAAATTTTGTATGGTGCGTTAACGCTGGGCGAAGGGCTAACTTGTGCCTTAGAACCACCGCGTAGAATTTTGTCAGGAAGAAATTCCTTTTTAAAATTCCTTTTACGGTTCCTCTTTTTCCATGTCCAGAGTTTGGAATCCATTGTCCATGTTAGGAAAGGCAGCTCTTGGTTTTTTTGCTGGAAGGTTCATTTTATTCAGAAAAAGAAAAGTTTGGTCTCGTGGCAGGAGTTTTTTTTTATTTTTTTCAAGCTGGCTGGCAGATCTAGGGGAAATTAAATTGGGTTGCAATCTTTTGGCCCCCGTGGCCTTTGCAAAACTAAACAATACTAAACAATACTAAACAAACTAAACAATTGGAGCTTGGGTGAGATTAAAACTGGCGAAAGTCATTTGATAATTGCAGGTATTCCAGCTTACGCGGAATTAAAGTCAAATGTTGAAAAACATGGCTAAGAGAGGAATTGCAGGGTGACAGGCCAGAAAAGCTGTTTGAGCCACAATCTACGTTTTGGAGAGAAAAAAAATGGAAACCCCCCCAAATCCCAGCTGATACCCCCTACTCACTAAAGTAGGGATAGTGCAGAGATTGTTGCAAATAGGCTGCTACCTCTATTCCTTGCCATTTCCAGGACCCTGGGGCTGCCTTAAGCTACCTTCAAAGACATGTTGCATCCAGAATCAGCCACACTGCTTCTGGAGAACAGAGTTTGCAAGAGCTTAAATGCAGAATGATTTCCTCTTTTTGCTCAGGGTGGAACGTTTCTCGCTCACTTTTGATAAAGAGGGTTTGCAATAGTTTTGTTTATGCCAGTCACGTTTGTAAAACGGCCCTTTATTTAAAAAAAAAAAAATCATTTGAAGCATAAGCCATGTTTCCCCAAAGTGGGAGAATAGCTGCAATTTTATACCGTGGTCTTAAATCCCCTCCTTTTTTTCCCTACAAAAGCATGCAATTAGTGAAGGATGTTTGTGACGTTGTGGAATGTTACAGTAAACTGACCTGACTGGTTTTAGCATTTGTATAGTGGGAAAGCATCTAGCAAATGTTGCTGGTTGGCCTTTATTCACCCAATGCCCAGCAGCAGATCTGTAGACCAGTTTACTGTTTATTTCTTGGTAGGTATGCAAGAAAGGCCAGTTCTCAAGTCTGAACTGGGTTATTTCTGCCCTAGGAAAGGAGGTGCAAGAGAAAGGTCATTTCAGGCAATTTGATAATCCTACAGCAGGACTGTTTTTCCAGTGCTTTGGGGCCTCAAATAAGTGATTTAGCATTTTATTCTGGAACAAGCCAGTCCTAAACCATGATATGATAGCCATTGTCTCCAACTGTGCCTAAGATGCCTATAGAATTTCCCCTTCTTAACTTTCTGGATGACTCCTTAACGTATCACGCCTGTCGTACAACTTCGTTGTACAACTTCGATTGTGGTCTCAAGGCAAGCCTCTGAGCTGACAACTTGTTCCTTTTTTCTTGTAGAATTGCTGTTTTATAGAAATAAATTTTGGGGTTGCAGTGATTATTCATTAAAGAAAAAATCCTAATTTTTTGTACAAAACCATTGTTGCTGTTTTTTGTTTTGATTCAGAAAACCGGAGCACTACTTCTTTTTCAAGCGCTTGCTGCATCTTGGCCGTCTGTGGGCAAGATTTGAGTCCTCCCAACTATCCATCTGATTCCAACCATTTACAGAGAATGATCATCTTACTTCATTGTGCTGTTTTGAGGCTGGCCCAATTTTGTAAGAAAACAAAGCAAAACCATTTAATTGGATTTCTAGGCTAGAAATTCAGGTGGGAAATTCACACGTCTGTACACTAACAGAACATCTTAGTAGGCCTGTGTCATACAGCATTCATCTGACATTTCCCAACATTGTATGATCAAGATGGGTAAATATATATATATATATATTTGAGAAAATAAACAGAACTTCCTTTCTATCCAAAATTTAGTCCCGTAAATCAGATTCTTTCTTGGCCATCTGAATAGAAATGAAGAGTCAGAAATTGCTTTATTTTCTAGCTATAAAATCTCTGGTAACTGGTACAGCTGGAGCAAAGAGATAATGGCTGTTTAAGTCCCTGGAGAAAACTTGCTTTATCTCTGTGCTAGGAAGTCGATACCCCATCTGCAACCCCTAAGAATTTTGCCGTCCCAGCCATTTGCCAATAAAGGAGAATATTTGCAGCTCAAGGTTGAAATGAGCTTGGTTTTCTTGCAGACGTTTCATGGCCCAACTAGGTAGCCTTATCAGGGCTACGAGGGAGCGGGGTTTGCTTGTAGCGCTGATGAAGCTACCTAGTTTGGGTCTGCAAGAAAACCAGCTCAGAGAGCATCAAGGGCCCCTAGCCAGCTGCTTAATAACGACCAGGAAAGGACCCCCAGTTTGAACCTAAATCCGTTCCGTTCCTTGGAAGCTTTTTCCAGCACCAGCAGCAGACTCAAATCAGTGTAAATTAATAAACAGAACCTCTGTGCCCAGGCAATGCTAGCCGATATTCTCCCCCACCCACCCCAAAAAATGAGACAACCCAGTTTCAGCTAAATCATTTTAATACGCGAAAGTGTTTTCTTTCATCGTAAAGGTTCAATTAAGAACAATTCCCGAGACTTTTTCTCCTTTGCAAAGGAGCTCACCCAGCCTCTTAAAATTTCAGCTACTGAAATAAGTGGCCTGGCTTTCCTTTTTTTTTTTTTTTTGCACGGATTTCCTAAGAGAGTTTTAAGGCAGTGCTTCCCAACCTTTTTCCTTCATTACCCCCCCCCCCCCCAAAAATCCCCTGCTTATTAAAACATCTTATGCAAGCTCATCCCTTCCTTTACCACCGTTGTAACTTTGAACGGTTGGTCGTCAACTCAAGACAACCTGTATAAAATGGAGCAATCTTTGTCACTTTTCAACAAATTGGTCATTTCATGGAGTTTCATTTCAGCAGGAATATATTTTGAGAGACTTTTAAACACCCTTGGCCATCTTGTAAGTCAATTTAAATCTCCCCGTTTTGACTGGGAATGTGTATTGTTACCCAAAGGGGGGGGGGGGGAACATATTTTTACCTAATTGGGGGTAATTTCACCCAGGTTTGGGAGGCACTGGTTGAAGGGAACTTTGAAAAAAAAACAAGGTTTTTATTTTCTCCTCTATAAATCCTTAAATGTGTACTATAAAAATCTCTACAAGATATTTCATTTCCATCCCCAGGTAATTTCTCCCACCCTTGGTCCCTTTTTATACGCATCAGATCTCGGCATAAAATACTACAAAGGACCACCTACACAACCGACAACGACAGTAGCCACAGAAATTCACATTTCTTTTTAAAAACATCTTTGTAGAATAATAGATACACCAATATTTACTCGAAATATTTCCCAAATGATTCCTATTGCTTATAAATAGTTATCCACAAGCTCCTTAATTCCTTTTCCCCGTAGGGGGTGGGAGGAGGGTCTGCCTTCTTGTAGATGGTGGGGGGCAGAAGAGACATTTAGGAGCTGGAAAGGATCCAGCTGGTATCTGTTTAAAACACAGACATTTAAAGGGGCTGGAATGTCTCAATGTCTCCTGCCGTAGAAAGAGTTGAAGGCTGCTGACATCTTAATCCTCCACCAAAAATCTATTTTTGGGGGGAACCAGCGAAAAACCCGCAGATCCAAGGGTTGAATTCCTCAAGGGTGGGCAGAAGCTGGACCCAATTTTCCTGGCCCTGGATTCAACTCTGCTCCGTTGCTTGTTGGCTTTGCCTTAGAAGTTAACTACATGGGCTTGGTAGACGCCGTCCTGTGCCAGCTGAAAAAAAAGGGGGGGAAAAATTGGTAGCCAAAATGGAAAAAACAAACAAAACCTATAGCTGATTTCTCACCTAAAAGTTAGTCCTTGGCTTACGACGGTAATAGAGTTTGGAATGAACCGTTCTGGGTCGCTGGGATTGTAAATCACGCGACCGGAATTGTCAGCATTTTGTGGCGGTTGTTAAGCGTGTTTTTACCTAATTTTTTTGCTGGAAATAAAACGACGGAAACTGGGATGCTGCCAATGGATAATAAATGTGCGCACGATCCTAAGCACCCAAAAAAAAAACCCTGATCTAGTGACTGTGTTGTCTGTGTGCAGCTGCCCTAACTTGGAAACTGGCCGGTAAGTCGCTTTTGGTTGGAGATCTGTCGTCATTTTGAACGGTTGCTAAGTCACCGTCGTAAGGCGAGAACGACTTGCATGATCTGAAATTGATTTTTGAATCCCACCCCTGGCACCTCCCTCTATGCTCACCTCAGAGTCCGGCTTGCTTTGACCTGGTTTCTGGGCCACGGCAGGTCTCTGCAAGGATGCTGGCTTACGAGCGATTGTAGGCTTCTTTCCATCCGTGTTCTCCGTGTAAAGACCAGCCAATGTGTAATGTTGTCTTCTCAACTCTCCGAGACGCAGCCTCTCGTTCTCCAGCGTCTTTTCCAGTTCCAGAACCTTCACCTGCAAAAGACAGGAACTTCTGGTGTCCATCACCTGTTCCCCTAGACCAGGGGGGGTCCATCCTTGGCCAACTTTTAAGACCCGTTGGACTTCAACGCCCAGAATTCATGCATGGCTGGCTGGAGAATTCTGGGCGTTGAAGTCCACAGATCTTCAAGTTGGCCAAGGTTGGACACCCCTGTCCTATAGAGAACTCCATCCTTGTGCTATGGTTAACACAAGAATCCCACAACTGGGTTGTTATCAGACTGGGTTATGCTGGTGGAGGTCTTCTCGGACCACCACTTTTGCAAAAAAGATGCTACGTTCAGAAGTTATCATCATCTCTACTCAGAGAACTCAACCACCACCTCTGCTATGGCATCCCTCCCTTATCCAAGCCTTCCTTCTAGAGGTGTGCTTTTTCAAATATGAAATTAAATCCCAACACTTCCATTAAGAAATCCCACATCCACGCGCTACCTACTTGTGTCTCCATCTCCTCTTTCTTGAGTTTGATCAAGGACAGCCCAGAGAAGTCCATGGTGTCTGGTTGGAAGGGAAAAAGAGGTTCATGTCCGATGGGATCGTGACCAAACTTCTCCAGATGTTCTCCAGTTGCAAGCACCACACAAACAGCAACAGAAAGCTTGCCCTATTCTGCAGTTTTGGATATTCTGCAATTCTTCACTCCCAACTTTAAATAAAACCTCACCAACAATCTCTCTTCAAGGCCATTTGCTCTACAAAATCATGGACCAAGCCTGCAGGATTTCGATCATCTTCTTAAAAGGAAAGCTGAGATTTTCACAAAGCTCAGCCCTAAAGAATGTATGTCTAAACCACTTCAAATAACACCACAGCTTAAATCAAGGGTCTTCCAACTTGGCAAGTTTAAGACTTATGGACTTCAACTCCCAGAATTCCTGAGCTAACATGAGCGGAGGAGGAATTATGGGAGTTGAAGTCCACAAGTCTTAAAGCTCTTAAGTTTGAAGGCCCCTGGCTTAAGTCCCAGGTAGTCCTCCCTTAACAACCAAAATGGAGCTCAGAATTTTCTGCTTTGGCCAAATAAGGTTGCCCACGACCCATTAGCCAAACTCTCTTAAAGTGCAGATGGGGAAACTTCCCTGTTTCCAGCCCACCAAGCCTCACCTTTCTCTTCTACCTGCTCCTGACCAGATTTGGTAGAGGCCACAACGTTAGCTGCCTTCTCGTTGACCGTACGCGAGCATTCCTGGAGTTTGCCGAGGTTCTTGCTGTGCTTCTCTGCTTTCACCTGGCATCCAAAACAAAACAAAACCCAATATTTGAAAATGTATGAATATAATTAAGACTTTTGTACTATCAAAGAATGATGGTGAATTGTACAAACTTACTTTTGTTATAGATGTATTTGTATTTTAATATTTTAAACTTCGATAAAGGTTTTTTAAAAATTAAAAAAGGAAAAAGAAAACAAACAATCCAGAGGTTGCAGCTGTTTCCCTTTGAGGATCATCTACCTTGGAGGCGGCTACGAGTTGAGCTGTGCTCGCTGCAATTTCATGTGAACAGACGATCAGCTCTTCGTATTTGCCGGTGTGCAAGACGACTTTATCCGCAGATTCTCTAATGCAACAAAGAAAAAAAGAAAGAAAAATGCATGATTTTTTCCCCCTGCATCAGAGAAAAATAAAGGAAGGTAGAGGAAGAAAGCGGAGAAGCGATCCAGATACCTACACGAGCTGAGTTGCTCCCCATCCAACAGCTTTGGATGCTGAGATGAGTCCTTCCGTCCAACAGGAGTTCTTGGCGTAAAATTCCTGGGGTGTTGCTGCCCCCTAGTGTTCAAGAGAAAGAATGTATCTTATCATTGCGCTGTATGGACGACACACAAGAGCAAAATAAAAATTGGGAGAAAAGCATTTAGAGAAAAAGTGGGAATTTAGAAGACAACAAGTTCTGATCTATCTTGAATTTCGACAGCTACAGGAATGGATTTTTTAGGGTCCTAAGAAGGAGGGAAGCACCCTGCTTGAAACATCACAATTAAACAAATGCGATGTAATAAAAAATGGGAGAGAGAGAGAGAGAGAGAGACTCTCCAACAGCTGATCGTCAATCCACAGCCTTTCCCCAATATCTTAATTTTCTACATTTTATTTTTTAAGTAACAGCAACACATCCCAAATGATCTCACCCTTCCTCCTTCCACGATCTCCTTCTGCAGGTGGGTGGAGGTCAATACAAGTTGCCGAATAGCCTGAAAGTAGACGAAAAAGCAGAAGAATTTCGTTGAATTCTGAGCAATTTCTACCGTGGCCCCATCAGCCTTCAACAAAAGGCTTGTATTATGCGACCAAAAACAGACAGCAAGGAAAATTCTTGCCGTGTATCCCAAATGGAATTATTTTTAATGAATGATCAACTCACCTTCATTAAATCTGTGCAGGAATTCAGGATTCTAGGGGAGGAAGGGAGGATGGAAGGGAGGGAGGGAGGGAGGGAGGGGGAGAGAGAGAGAGAGAGAGAGAGAGAGAGAGAGAGAGAGAGAGAGAGAGAGAAAGAAAGAAAGAAAGAAAGAAAGAAAGAAAGAAAGAAAAAGAAAGAAAACAAGAAAACAAAGAAAGAAAGACCACCTGTTAGAACGATGAAGCCTACACATTGGGAAGTCATTCTTTTTGGAAACAACATGAAAATACAAAATCTGACCCCCATTGAAAGAACTTGAACCTTCATCACTTCAAAAAAAATATTAAAGTAACTGTATCTGTGCAAACTCAAATGAAAATATTTTTCAGTCCGTTGGGGTTTTATCCAAAGCAGTACTTCTACACCTTAAGAGGTTTTTAGGATAAGTGGGCTTTTAACTCCCAGAATGGAAATCTACACATCTTAAAATTACAATGTTGTATGAACCCACCCACTCAAGCAACAGATAGATGTGGGAATGGGTGAGGCTTTCACCTCAAAACCATGGTGCTGTAGGCAGATGAATGGATCGGTTGCCCAACAGCTAGGTAGGGTTCGTGGGAATTTGAAATATGAGCTTATTATAAACATTTTGGAGAATGTACTAAGCATAGAAGCTAGGCTGCATTTCTTTTAGCAAGAGATAGCTTTGGGCCCGTTTTCTCCAGAAGATTCATCAAGGACTGCCCTGGCTCTGGTGACTCCAAATCTACCTTAACCAGAGATGTTAAGACAGAATCCCGGTGGCTTCAGATTCAGCGTGCAACCGCTTGGAAAACTACACTCCGAATTTTTAGTTGTGCAAATTCATCCCTGCCCCTAGCTTACCTTTCATTGACTTCTAGTTTCACCCCAGAGCTTTCTACTCTGGCTTGATTCATCATTTCCTGTAGAGAAATGGAAGACAGAAGGTGGATTTGGCCAGCCGGTAGATCCAAAGTGGTTCATCTCCAGCCAAGGAGGACCAAGCTGGATCGTTGTGAGGCTGGGATGCTTCTTGGCACCACATAATTAGGTGTGGATGCTTCCTATTGTTCCCACACAGAACAGGCCAAACCATAGGGATCTCACTATCAGAATCTTCAAAGGATTGTGTTCCCACAGCAAACACAGACATTAAACCAAGTTAGAGTGTAGCTTGGAGAAACCAACATGTCCAACCCCCTTTTAAACTCTTTATATCAAGGACTTATACTTTTTTTGGAAAACAGGCCGGTCACAAGTTAATCCCACCTCTATCCTTCTCACGGCATCCTCAACTGCCGCAGAAGTGGTGGCCATCTCTTTGTCGACCAAGTCGCCCAGTTCTTCTTCCCGGATGTCCAAACTTTTGGGTCTCAGTTCCTAAACCCCCCCAAAGAAGAAAAGTGGATTGAGGCTTCTGAGAAGAACCTTTGGCCTAAGAAAGCTTCAAGAGTTTTAATCAACGGCGAAGAGCAAGCAACGACGTCGCCTGCGCCCAACGTTCCTCGCGGAGAACTTCTCCTGGTGGGCCTCCGTTCTCTCGTCACCTGTCCTAGCTGGAATAGCCTCTGCAGAGTTGTCCTCAGGTCTGCTGGATCTGCTTCTCGGAGAGACTGCTTGTCTTTGAGCTTGTTCAGGTAATCCAGGCTATGATACCCACAGTCCCTGCAGGATTCTGTCAGTTCTGGACCAGGGGAAAAAAATAAGATCCAGTTGTCAATGTTCCAACTAACCAACTCCAAACCCATAAACTCCGAGACAAACAATTCCTCAAAGTTCCATTTTATTAGAGTTGTCCTATTGGCACATCTGGGAAAACCCAAATCTGAGAGTTCTGGGTTTTCCCTTCCCAAAAGAGAAATCCAAGATCCGTCCCCTGCGTCCATCAGTCCATCACACAGCCCAATCAAATCTTCGTCCCAACTGGAGACATCCCTCCAAATGTTCCCCTCCGGGTGCAGGGCCACTTGTCCTTGACTCTCTGAGAAAAGATTGTTGTTGAGTCTAATCTTCTCCCTCACTATGAAATCCCCCCTCCCAAATTCCCAGGCACTGAATGTGGCCCCCTCAAAGCTTCCAAGAAAAAAAAAATGGCTTCCGAGTCTGACACCAGTTGGTTTTGATCCTGAGGCCATTTCAGGAAGCTTTATAAAACACAGATGTTTCCCTGGTCAGGGAAGGCAGTCAACCTTTGGGAGGATGTTAATTTATAGAGCAACGCCATGATATCAAGAAGGTCTTATCATGGCTTGAATCGTCTTTGGAAGAACCTAAGAGAGGATCAAAGATCACATCCGATCAAAAATCTGAGGAGCCCAGCTAACAACGCCTTGTGGACTGGATCCCTTCAAGCACCAAGGAGGTTGAGGTTTCCAGTCCTCTATCTTTACCAGGGGTGGGGGTGGGGAGCCTTTCCCACACCCTACTCACTGTCAGCGTGATCCGTTGGGGCAAGATGGGACGTGGCACTGCCGTTCACGATGGCATCTGCCGTGAGATGGGCAAACTGCGCCAACGCGGCAACCAGTCCAGTGGCATCTGAGACGAAGAGCGAGAACGGAGGGGAACAGTGAGAATGGAGAGCAATCCAAAAAGTGTGTTGCATTCAAGGCAGATGGAGACCAGCTTTCTCTGAAGTTGGTCCTTCCTTTATGGCAGTGTTCAGCCTCCTTAGCCACCCTTTAAGATGGGTAGACTTCAACTCCCAGAATTCCCAGCCAGCATAGAATTCTGGGAGTTGAAGTCCACTCATCTTAAGGTGGCTGAAGTTCAGGAAAGACTGCTTTAACCCAACCCAACCCAACCCAACCCAACCATGCTTACATCTAAAGGTGTATAAACAAAAGCTAAACAGAAAAAGGGATATAACACATCATTGGCCCTGTTTAAAAAAACCTGAATGTTTGCTGTGCCTCAAACAGCTACACAATCAAAACAGTTTTCTGGAAAGAAGACAGAACGAAAATCTATTTGGAGAGAGAATTTCGTAAGGCTTGAAGCCACCGAGAATCTCAGCTTTGTCCCCCACCCTATGAGTGGACCTCCTGTGACCTCATGTCGGACTTCCTCGGGGGATCTAAGCCCATCTTATCCTTAAGTTCTTGGTTCCCGAATTGTCTGGGGTTTCCCTATGCAAGAGACTTCATGGCTGATGGCCCTCAGTTTACACCTGCTCTGAAACTTCAGCTACACAACATCATGTGTTGCATCCTATCAACTGACGGGATCCACAGTTTGAGGAGCTAGGAAGAACTCCCACCCACCCACCCCCCAAAAAAAGGGAAACATGAGTTTGAGAACCAACAATTTCTTTCCGCTCGCTTGCGATATCTGCAACGCTTCCATTCCCAACGCTCGAGGGGAGGAACCCGGAAACTCCACACGCCTCACCTGCCATGTTGGTTAGATAATGCTTATGTCCCTTCTCCAGGGCATTCACCGATTCCAAAGCTGCCTGGGCGCGGCTGACAAGATAATCTGCGAAGGAAGAAATTATGGAATGTGGTTTGGGAGGAGAAGGTCAACCTGCTGTGTTTCTGGATCTCTGACTCAAAGGCAGCCCGGGGCCAGATTTGGAAGGAAGGGAGTCATCTTAATCTCTCCATTTTTTTTTTTTTAAGGGCTTAAAAGGATTCAGGACTCCCTGTTCTGACCCAAACCTTGTTCCAAGGAAACAAACACAGAGGTAACAGCAAAACCTTGTAATGATTCTTTACGAATTCCCGATTAAAAGGCTGTTTCAAACTAATTGTCTTTGATAAGAACGAGCCTTGTCAAGGTGGTGCAAGGCTGCCAAGAACACTAGATAAAGTTGCCAAGCGATATTTCAAACCCAAAGAGTCTCCAAACACCAACTAAGAGAATCCGAACGTCCACCAGGCTTGAGTGCAAAAACTTCTTTGCTTCCTGCAAAGAACTCCGGTTTCTCAGCTGGCTTTTATCTCTTAAGGGAGAGACCATGACCTTGCAGCCTTACTCCCGAGTCACTCGTGCTGCTGCAGCTGCTCTTTCCTTCGAGCAGCCCTGCACGCAGACACGCTGGGCACAGGCTCCTCGGGGACCTCGTCCTCACTGCTGCCAGCCTCCACAATCTCCGAAGGCCGCACTCCACTCCCTGATGGTCCTGGCCCCATCCCTGCATCACACGCAGGCCCCTCGTCTGAGTCCTCGCTCTCCGAGGCCTCAGCCGTCCACACCTGCTGCCAGCGAACCACAACACTCACCTGGGGAACTGGTGCACCGGATATGCAAAGGGTCGTCCAACTTGCTCACAGCATCCTGGATGATGCTCTCGGCTTCCTTGATTGTCCCTTGCAAGATTCGGAATTGGTCATCCAGGAGCTTCTGCTGCAGGTTCTGTTCGTGAGTTCTCTGCAGAGCGGACCCAAAACATCGATGAGCAAGTATGTTCCACACGTTACAAGACCACGTCCTTGGATTATGTGTCCAAGGAAAACCAGGAGGACGAACTGGTCCCCTCCTTCCCTCCCAAGCCATCTCCCATCTCCCTCTGGCCTTCCCCAAAGTTTCTCCTCCGTACTTTTTCCACCAACTTTTCCTGGAGTTCCTGCACTTCCTTCACCCTCTTCTCGGCTTCCTGGCTCAACAGCAGCTCCTTCTCTTGAATGAGGCCCTTGGTCGAGATGAGCTCACATTCCTTCTCGTTGACCGATTTCCTCAGGGTCTCCTTTTCGGCTTGCAGGGCGTCCAGCTGGCTGTTGAGGTCCGAGCCAACCTGCACATCATGTGGGAAAGAGTTCCACACGCTGGTTCCTCGCTTGAAGATTTCTCACACCCTCTCTCCACGTTATTTATGTGGAGAAGTTGCACCCCGAGGGCAAACTAACTAGGACCTCACTAATACAGGTTTAAGATTAAAAGATAATTAAAAGATAAGATTAAAAGATATAAAAGGTGTCATACTCCAATGAGCAACTACAGGAGAAACTTTGTTTAATGAGAAAAGATAATATGAAATTGAAACAGGACAGACAAAAAGTATGAATACAATGATTTGAATTGAGACGAGATAATTAAAATAAAATTGAGAAAATTAAAAGAGGGGAGAAGCTATGCAGAAAATGTAAAACAGTAATAAGATATGGAATAGAACATAAAAATGAGCATGAAATTGAATTTGTACGAAGAAATGTAACCCGGGATTATGCTACTTTCAAAAAAGATGTTTTACTTGTATTTTTTTTTCTCTTTGTGAAAACTCAAATAAAATTTACAAAAAAAAAAAAAAAAAGAAATCAGGAGGCTGTGAGTTCGATCCTAGGCAGAGGCAGAGATTTCTCTCTCCGGGCACAATGAGAATATATCCACTGAACAAAACTCCTCATTGGTGACAAGAAAGGCATCCGGCCATTAAAACACTCTGCTAGTTCCATTCCATTGTCCAGACTCCATCCCGCAAGGGATTATGGGGTCGTTAAAAGATGATGATTCTAGGCCACCCATGTGCTGAAGATAGCACCCAAAGCTAGCAAACTGTCAACAAGTGAAGACATTTAAAAAGGCATCTCGAAATCCAGATGGGGCCGGAGAGACAGAATCCCCCCCCACCCAGAGACCATACAATCGTCTCCTTAGGCCAAATACCTGCTTAGAATGGCTGAGCGACTGCTGAAGCTGAGTCAGTTCTCCTGCTTTGGAGTCCAGCTGTCTCTTCATCTGTTCCACCTGAAGCATCTGGTCTTCTAACTGCATGAAAGCCCAAGAGACAGGACCTACTACAGGGTGTCCATTTCACCCCAGGGTCAAAGCTATGTCCCGTGACCAGTTATGGAGAAGAAGGAACCTGGACCCTTGTCCAAAGAAGACGACCGACTTTGACCCAAAATGTTTCATCCCAAGAGAGGCCCACCTTCATTTCTGACTCTCGCTTGGCTTGCTCCATCTGGAAAGCCAGCTCTTCCTTGACCTGGGCGACCTCTTCTTGGCTCTGTTGGGTGACGGTCAGCTGCTTGGCAGTATCTGCGTTCTGGGTGCGAAGATTCAGAGTTGAAGGAAGGATGGAGAAGAAGAATTTGGCCAAGCAAGAGACAAATCAGGGTTTCCTCTCAACTCCCAGAATTCCTGAGCTAACATGACTGGTGTCAGGAGTCTGGCACTTAACCCCAATTAAATCATGAGTCTCGAGCCAAACTTCCAAAACTTCCAAAGGATTTATTGGGAGTTAAAAGGTGCGGCATTGCCTAGGTATAGCCAACTCTGAGACGCATTATTCATTGTCACCCTTGACCCTGGTTTTCCCCCACCCCCTGGGTGTATCATAATTCATATTCTCCAATGGGACACCTCCATAGCCCAGAGGCATCAATCATACTCTCCAGTTAGAATTTTGCACGGCAGAAACTTCGGTCACCTAGTTACTATTTTGAAAACATTTATGGAATGCACTTTCAGTTTGCAAGCTGTTGCACTGCTCCCCCTTTCTCCCTTTCTGTTGGCAACTCTAAAAAGACCATAGAAATATTTTATGAGTTGACAACTGGAGAAGGAATTCTTGGAGTTGAAGTCCACAAGTCTTAAAGCTGTCAAATTTGAAGAGCCCTGATCTATCTCCTATCACCTATCTATCTATCTATCATCTCTCTCCGTACCTCCCTCCCTACCTATCATCTATCTATGTATGTATCTATCTAAGATCTATTACAAGGGTCTTCAAACTTTGCAAGTTTAAGACTTGTGGACTTCCACTCCCAGAATTCCTGAGCTGACATAGCTGGAGGAGGAATTCTGGGAGTTGAAGTCCACAAGTCTTAAAGCTATCAAGTTTGAAGACCCCTGAAGAAAAACTCATTTGATCTTGACTGAAGTGGTGGGGGGAGATATTTAAAGATGACCACAGAGATGTCACAACAACCAACATGACAAGGAATCTGCCCCAAACATGGTCAACCGTTACCTTTCTCAAAAGTTCCGCATGGGTGTTGATTAATTCGTTGTGCTTCTCCTTCAGCTTGGCATACCGGATTTCGGTGGTGCTGGCTTTTTCTGCCAAAGAGAAAGATATTGCCACCTTATAACTTTCACCTCCCTATTAAATCATGAGAAATTATTTGCTGGGACATTTGACTAGTTTTTCTGCAAAATTATGGCCATTCTTAATGGCCAATGAAAGGCCACACATCTGTTTATTAGACGGCACTGCTTCGGATGCAGTTGTCAGACCCAGAGCTTAGTAATTCCTTCCATCAATAGACTCCCAAGATTTCCTAAAACGATCAAGTGTTTAGTTTAGTTTACTTGATTGTCACTGCACCTTGTACAATGAAATTAAATACCATCTTCGGTGTACCTTATGACGATGAAAACAAACACAAACACCCATCCACATTCTATACAATTGAATTGAAAACCCTTGATATTGCATTCATATTGCACTACAAAGTAGAATTCAATAGAGTTACTACCAACTCAGATAGAAGCTGTTTTTTCAGCCTATTTGTCCTTGTTTTTATTATATTTTATTGTATTGTTTTTATTATGTGCCGCACGGAGGAAGGGAAACCCAGAATTACAGGAGGTATAACTTGGGAGGGGCCAGAGTTAAGTCTTCCTTCCCCCAAACAATCACAGACGTAAAGATGCAGAAAATGCAGAAATTGAGGCCTGCAAAAGGAATTACGTCGAGGGAAAACTCTTCTTTTTCTGTTGAATTCGGTTGGAGAACCTGGATTTAACTCAAGAGCAAAACTCACCACATGCCTGCTAGATCACAACCCCACATACATACACACACACACCCTCTGGCACACCCACCCCACTTACTTTCTGCTTCCAGGTAGAGTCCTCGGTTTTTGTCTCCTTCAAATTTTGCTTTCTGCAGCTTCTCCAGCTCATCTCGGAGCTGCTCGTTGTCCACCAAGGCTTTCTGCTTCTGCATCCTCTGGTCTTCCACCTCGGCCTCCAGGCTGTTCACCTGAGCCTTCAGCTGGGTGATGTACCTTTGAGCCTGAAGAGAGAAAACAGGTCGTTGAAAACAAACCACCCTTTTTCTCCAGGTACAGCCGAAGTCATATCCCCCCTTCCTCCTGGGTTCCTTCGGTCATCAGCTCCGAAGAATCACACTCTCACCCTTCAAGAAACACTTCAACAGATCAGGGCGCTTTCTAGGGAACTGAGAAGTAGAGGTAAGTCCTCCATTTACGATCACAATTGAGCTCAAAATTTAAGTCGTTAAGTGAGACCAATGCTAAGTGTCAGTTTGCCCCATTTTTTGCGACCTTCCTGGCCACAATTGTAGCACGTGAATCACTGCAGTTAGTTCAGTTAGTCATACAGTTTTGTTAAGTGAAGCTTTGCTTTTCAGAAGATGACCAAAAGAGGTTTGCCTGACACTGCAACCATCATAATTATTATGCATCAGTTTCTTTCTTTCTTTTTTTGAAAAAGTTTTTTTATTTTTATAAGAAAAACAACAAATAAAACCATCTTTCAGTTATACAGCGTGTTGGCTGGATATATCTTGTGTGCATAATAATATTTGTATACATTTCTAATTCTTATTCTTCAATAAGAATGAATATATATATTCATATATATATATATTCATTATATATCATAGTGTATCATTATTTCAATGTCATTACATTTCTTGCTTCATTTTCCAACTATTCTTAGAACCAAATCCCAAATCTTACTGGGTTACATTCATATTATAGCCTATCCAGCATTGTTTATCATAGTATATCATTATTACAGCATCATTTAATTTCTTGCTTTATTTTCCAACCATCCATAGAATAGATCCCAAATCTTAAAATACTCCCTTTCTTCTTGTTCTCTAATTGCCAGTGTTAACCTACTCATTTCTATTATGCACCAGTTTCAAACATCTGAATTTTGATCGCATGGCCACGAGGTTGTTGCCACGGTCGTAAAAGTGTGAAAAACGGTCATCGGTCACTTTTTTTCAGTACCGTCATAACTTCAGTCACTACACTGAAAACAGTTGTAAGTTTTGAGAACTGCCTGTATCCGAGGCCGGTTTCCCATCTGCTAACATTGCTATTTCCTTAAAAATCTCAACTTCTTCTAACTTGAATTTATGAAATTATGAAAAGTGACTTTTTCCCTTTTGTCAAAAACGTAAAAATAACAGCGCTGGGGCTCTTGAAAACGGATTTCTGAACACACCCCAAAGGTCCACGATTTGCTTTGAAAATAATATGGGGGGAAGAAGGGGGTGTCCCTTAGCAGAGTTTGAAATCAGGGTGGAGAAATCCGGGCCTTACTTCCAGCTTAATCTTCGCTAGCTCTGTCTGAAGCAGTTCAATTTCTTTCTTCAGGTTTTCGATTTGCAGATCTCTGGCAATAAAAAGAGCAACGCGTCGCATTAGTGGTGCGCAAAAATTCAAGTTTTGAGTTGGTTTGATGGCCTCCACTTTCCCCATCAAATAGTCACCTATCCTGCTTAGATTTCTAGTGTGTTTCACGAAAGATGCTTCGGTATATTTATAAATCCTGCAATCCCACGAAGCCATGCTCCCTCCCGTCTCTGAAAAGTACAATTTATTAACAGATAGCAGATAATCGGAGTTGGAAGGGACCTTGTAGGTCATCTAGTCCAACCCCCCGCCCAAGTGGAAGACCCTACACCATTTCTAACAAATGGCAGTCCAATCTCTTCTTGAAAGCTTCCAGGGATGAAGCTCCCACAACTTCTGAAGGCAAGGTGTTCCATGGGTTGATTGTTCTCACTGTCAGAAAGTTTCTCCTTATTTCTAGGTTGAATCTCTCCTTGTTCAATTTCCATCCATTATTCCTTGTCTGGCCTTTAGAAAATAGCTTGACCCCTTCCTCCTCTCTGTGGCAGCCCCTCAAATATTGGAAGATGCTCTCCTGTCTCCTCTGGTCCTTCTCTTCCCTAGACTAGCCAGGCCCAGTTCCTGCAACTGTTCATTGTATGTTTTTTCCAGTCCCCTAATCATCCTGGTTTTTCTTCTGTGCACTTTTTCTAGAGTCTCAACATCTTTTTGACTTCAAAGGAACGAAGCTGGCCAACTTATTACATCTTATCAATCACCTTAGAAGATTGTTAAAGACATACATATTCTTCCTTTCTCCTGGGTTTCTTCTGCCACCAACCCTCCAAACCTTAACGCTTTCTTAAAAATTATTTTTACTTTTGGGGAATCCCAAGCACCAGATAGCTTAAGTGTTGCTTTTATTAACTACAAGGGTTTTATTGGTCAAATACCTGTCATCTTTTAGTCCGTTGGGTGGCCCGAAAGTCTGCTCAAATATATCCGACACATTCTACAAAAGAAGAAAAGAATCCTGGGAGTTAAAATTTTGCACATGCTCAGAAACACCGTTATACCTTCCAAGAAAAAACGATGGGGCTGTACCCCAGCTGGGAGGGGAGAATTTGCACCAGTCACCCACTTCTGAATGGTCCGGCTGAGGACCTGCGTTGAACAGGGGGATGGACTAGAAAACCTCCAAACTCCCTTCCAGCTATCTATTCTACTCTTATTCTATCTCACCTGCTGCTCTACGGATGGAGCTGAGCTGATCTCAATCAGGTTTTCCGGCTCCTCGTCTTCGGGGGCTTCTTCTGGAATGACTACCACTGGCTTGACATGCTCAGCTAGGGCGGATGCCCTCAGGAAATTGGGGGGGTTCTGTGGAAGGAAGGAGACCCAAACTCACTGATAGCCTCACACTGCAATGAACAAGGACATAGATTCAATTTCGCAGCAACTAAGATTGTTGGATGGGCAGGGACAAAAACAATCAGCCACTATAATTATTGGATGAGCAGGGACAAAAACAGCCAGCTACTAAGATTGTTGGATT